TGAGCTGAAATTTCTCTTTATTGAGCCAAAGTTTCTCTTTATTTAGCCGAAATTTCTTTGTTGAGCTGAAATTTCTCTTTGTTGAGCCGAAATTTCTCACTTTTGAGCTGAAATTTCTCACTACTGAGCTGAAATTTCTCTTTGTTGAGCAGAAATTTCTCTTTGTTGAGCTGAAATTTCTCTGTTGAGCCGAAATGTCTCTTTATTGAGCTGAAATTTCTCTTTATTGAGCCAAAGTTTCTCTTTATTTAGCCGAAATTTCTTTGTTGAGCTGAAATTTCTCTTTGTTGAGCCGAAATTTCTCACTTTTGAGCTGAAATTTCTCACTACTGAGCTGAAATTTCTCTTTGTTGAGCAGAAATTTCTCTTTGTTGAGCTGAAATTTCTCTGTTGAGCCGAAATGTCTCTTTATTGAGCTGAAATTTCTCACTACTGAGCTGAAATTTCTCTTTATTGAGCCGCAATTTCTCTTTATTGAGCTGAAATTTCTCTTTGCTGAGCCAAAATTTCTCTTTGCTGAGCCGAAATGTCTCTTTATTGTCCCTGAAACCCTCCCGCCATCTGGGCCGGGTGACACACACACACACATACACACACACACGTGGGGACATCCCCGTTTCCCGCTGCTCAGCCCCGTCCCTGCGTTGTGCTTCACCTCCCGCGTGCGGACGGAGGCGCTGGGCGAGGGCAGGTGAGACGGGCTCGTGGCCCCGCGCGCTGCGGGGGCTCCGCTGGGTTTTTGCCTTGGAGGGAGGGGGACGTTTGCAGCGGCGCCGGTGGTTGGGGAGGGATTAACCCTTGGGGTTTTGGGTTTTTTTTCCCCACCCCGAGCAGCCTGGAGCATCACCCCGGGGCCAGGCTGGAGGACCGCAGGACCAGCATCGCCATCGGCGTGGCGGATGAGGAGGAGAGCCGGGACACCATCCGGCTCCACGAGAAGGAAGAGGTAACCTCTAGCGACCCTTCCCACCTCCCTCTCCCTTGGCGCGACCTGTCCTCCTGTCCCGTCAACGCCTTATTTTTTTCCATCCCGCTCCGCTCAGAAGAACGTCTTGCGGTATTATCTCTTCGAGGGCATGCGGTACGTCTGGATGGAGCGGCGGCAGGCGTACTGCAGCGTGCGGACGGAGGCGCTGGGCGAGGGCAGGTGAGACGGGCTCGTGGCCCCGCGCGCTGCGGGGGCTCCGCTGGGTTTTTGCCTTGGAGGGAGGGGGACGTTTGCAGCGGCGCCGGTGGTTGGGGAGGGATTAACCCTTGGGGTTTTGGGTTTTTTTTCCCCACCCCGAGCAGCCTGGAGCATCACCCCGGGGCCAGGCTGGAGGACCGCAGGACCAGCATCGCCATCGGCGTGGCGGATGAGGAGGAGAGCCGGGACACCATCCGGCTCCACGAGAAGGAAGAGGTAACCTCTAGCGACCCTTCCCACCTCCCTCTCCCTTGGCGCGACCTGTCCTCCTGTCCCGTCAACGCCTTATTTTTTTCCATCCCGCTCCGCTCAGAAGAACGTCTTGCGGTATTATCTCTTCGAGGGCATGCGGTACGTCTGGATGGAGCGGCGGCAGGCGTACTGCAAAGCCAGGTATTTCTCCATCCCTCTCCTGCCACCACAAACCTCTCTGCATCTCTCTCCTGCTCTCCTTCACCCCTCAGCCCCTTCCAAAATAGTCCCGACCCGGTTGGAAATCGCATAACCGCGCTGGAAACTGTGGAGACCGTCCTTGAGGTGGTGGGTCGGGGACGCTGCGCTGCCTTTTTCCCCGCTCCCGGCCAAGTCGTTGACGTTGCCGGGCTTTGTGGGCAGAGGAAAGCGGGCAAAGCGGTTTGGCAGCTGCTCTCTGCCCCCCCCCTCCCCGTGCTGGATGCTCCCCACCATCCTGCACCGCTCTCCAACTGTGCCCCCTTTTGTTCCCGCTCCTTGGCGCCCGCCAGCCCCGCCGGATGCCGAGGAACAAGATGCTCTCCCTTTCCCAAAGAGGGTTGTTTTTTCTTCACCAAGGACTTGGACATGCTGTTTGTTCTGCCGGACCAGGCTCCTGCTGATTTTGACTCTTTGTTTCTCCGTTTTTTCTTCCCCCCACC